AACTGGAAAAAAAGCTGTAGGTTTGCGTATGAAAAAACTCTGTAAAAAGCAACCGTAAGTATTATAATATAGTGCCATCATTTTGATTTGTATAAGATGGTTAGAGTAGGTAGTCTACAGACTACAAATGTCTGTCCAACTTACGAATATGACGAATATGTAGGAGTGTAGGGCAGGTACGTACCTTTTAAATTTTAGATTGGATTTATGTAAAACTGTAAGGTAAGCACTAAGCATATACTTATTTTCTCCAACATTAGCTATAATTTTAAATAGTGTTTAAAAAAATAACCTGGTTGAATACGATTTATTATATTTATTTATATTATGTATATTGTATAATGTATATTGTAAATTATGTATATTTTGTATATACCTACAGATAAAGTATATATTTTATTTTCTGCAGATGGTTTGGTAGGCGATACAGCTCTACTTGAAATTAAATGTCCTTTATCGACAAAAGATACCATTGATATTCAAGTTGCAGTCGACAACAAAAAGGTACAATAAAATAATTATTATTATTATAAACTATGATACAAATAAACATGAATGTTTAGTATATTATACCTACCTATCTATCTATGATTTTTATTTATAATTTACAGATTCCTTATATAACCATTGTAGACGGTAAAATGAAACTAAAAAAAGATAGTTCATACTACTACCAAGTGCAAGGGCAGTTGAAAATAACTAAGAGGAAGGTATGTTATTTTGTTGTATATTCAGAACACTGGCTTCATTATGATGTAGTTGAATTCGACAAAAACTTTTGGAGTTCTAAAATGGAAACTCAGTTAGAAACGTAAGTAAAAAATACGAACTAAATACCTACTACAGTAGTTGTAAATAACATAATATTTGAATGTTGTAACTTGAAATCATATATTTTACAGATTTTATAAGGAATGTCTTTTGCCCGAATTGGTTCAACCACGGTATGGCAAACGGCTATTGAAGTCAGATATTTTAGAGCCGAAACACATTTTAGAAAACATAAAAAAAAAGAATTTACCTATTATATAAATTGTTTTTTTATTTTTGTATGATTATCATTTTCAAAATATATATCGCTTATTTTTAAGCTAGTTATAAGGATTTGAAACATTCCATTTATTTTTATAAATGTCGATATATTTTCATTAATTATTATTTATTATCATAATATTAAAAATCTATGTTTAAAAAAGGAACATAATATAACTTGAATGTAAAATATGAAACACGTAAAATTAATATTAATTTGATTGCACTGTATTTATTTAGGTACCTGATACCCAAATATATTTTTAATATAGATATTAGGTTAGGTATTTGAATTAGTAGGTAATAATCAATAATAAATACAAATCAAGCTATGTTATAATACAGTTTATACGATCTATATATTGGGACATACATTTAGGTAAGCAGTATCTTAAGACTTAATTTATAATTGGTAGTTCATAGGTACGCGAGGGTATTGAAAATATTACGGCGGCAGTCGCGTATAATGAGTTTTATATAATGATACGAACAGTACTGGACGAACGTTTATAGACAAATAAACGGCGCTCGCGAACGAGAATTCGTCGCCGCCGTCAGCCGGTTGCGAATTGTGAATAGTAGGCGTGACTTAAGCGCCGCGCGCTTGCGGATCTTGAAAACACCTAACAGCGCATCCTCTTGGTCGTTGCACGCGTAAATATTTCGTGACACGTCCTCTTAAATAGGGCCAGATTAAAAAACATAACAAAATTTAAAAAAAAAAACTTTTATTAAATGAAATATAAAAAAGAAATACCTAGACAACTTGTCAAGTATAAAATTGTAACAAATGATATAATATTTTATTGCTATTAATTTTTAACATGTTATTAATATTTAATATTAGGTATATTATAATATATTATGTATTAATTATTATAAATTATAGTTCATAATATTTAGAATTACTTGGTCAGTCTTAAAAATATATTAATATTATTACAAACAATAAACTTATAAAATAAATTTAAAAAAAAAAACTATTTGATAAAAGTATAAAAATGAATAGTAGATTACTTGACTACTTGTCAAATACCTATAAAATATTATCATGAATGATCATATTAAATAAATATTAAATAATATTTTATTACTATTAATTATTAACATAATATTATAATATATAAGTATATTATTATAGTTTTAACTTTTTACTTTTTACTTTAGATCTACAGAAGTAACAACATCAAAATGGTTACTATTTGAGTTGATTAAGTATATACATTTTTATGTATATTAAATACTTCTGGAATTTCACCAGATTTATGGAATACTTGCCAATCGGGTGTGTTGGAAAAAGTATATACCATTATAGTTGTGTTCATTAATAGAGCTGCAGCAAATAGCTCAACTTCAGTAGCCCAAATCGCTGAAATATAGTTAATTTTTTATAATAGAATTTATTTAATTTTTTTGAATAGTTAATAAATCATAATTTAATTTTGCTATAAAATGTATTGTAGTATGTTAATGTAGTTGAGTGAAATATAAAACCAGTTGTAATACAAGTAAATAAAATTATCGCATTTATTTATCTACCCATTTATTAATCATTCAAGAACATTAAATTGTGTTTACCATTCTTCCCAATAGGGTTGCTTATTAAATAGTATTCCATCTGAGTTTGGCCACCAATACATTTAATTAGGTACCTTATCATCATTTCTTACAAACTATCAAAAAGAAACAATTTAAAAATATAAATTATGTTACCAATGAAATTGTATAATAATTATTAATTAATTATAAATACCTTTTTCAGCTCTTTCCTAATTATTGTATGCGAATCTTCATCACCCGTAATCCACCACGATAATGCTCTATAAAAGCAATTACCGTCACCAATTATATCTATTGTCGTTAATGGATTATTCAAGACTTTAGGCACTGAAGAGATATGGAAATGGAAATGCTTAATCGTCAAATTGAAGTATCTACATTGCATCTTTTGCCACAAGTACGAAACCGGATTATAATATCTTGAAACAATATTTTGATATATATTTCCTGGAATTTCTAGAATATCATGGCCAACTTGTATATCTTTATCAAAATAATGTTTTAAATTTGACTAGTTTTGCCTTGTTTTCATAACTTTGCCTTTATATATTAGGACACAGGTTTTATTTGAATTTATGGAATCAAAAATATAATAACCAATTTTTGGTTTCTAGGGAAGTGAACTCCAACCTCCTTACGGTCATCTCTCTTGAGGTTTCTCAGTGAAACCTTGTCATTCACATTAAACACATTATCAGTTTTATGGCGTTTGTTGTATGAAACTCGTTGCCGTACATGAGCATTTTCTATGTTTGTATTTACTTTATCTTCCATTATACTCCTATATTTAACATTTTTTCAAATTGTAATGAACGGAACACATAATATGTCATTGAGGTTAATACCATTTATTGTATTTGCTTACACAAATTAATATAACACAATAAAATATAAAAATTCCATATACGTAATAATAACAATTTAATTATCCCGCATGCCTGATTACGGGTAAAATAAAGATAAGAATATAATTCAAAAATAATAATAATAGGTGGAAGTTTATACAAACAAAATATAATCTGGCGTGTTTTATTATAATTGACACAATAGCATGGAGATACCACGATCCCGTAAAACAATATAGGGAATTAATAACGGTACACAATATAAATGATAATAAAAGTTAGACTCACGGTTCTCGCAGCAGTAGTCAATAAATTAGTATTCGCCGGCACACTAATAATTTAATACGTGCTTCTCGGAGCGATAAGAATATGTATATTATTCACTCGACTCTCTCCACATCTACCAAATCTCGTATCGTAGGATATCATTCGTAAGTACGGGGTGTTAATGCCGTACCCAGAGTGTTATACTACGCCGTTTTATATGGTCGGAAAGTAAAGAGTCGGTGCGTATACGGACGCAATAAAAACAAAGTTGCGACTACTGGTGGAAATAGTCACTGTTACTAGGCAGTCCGATAGTAAGGGGTTTTACGGCCTTACCCACGACTCTGGTGTCTATTCCTACCAATATTTTGGTCGGAAAAAACGGAATCGATGAGACGGCCGTCGGGCCTACCTAGAGAGCCTAGATAATAAGAGAGTGGCCAACTCAATTGATAGCAGCCATTTTTCGTCCAAACTATTCCCGCCTTTTTTTGTTTTTGAAATTTAATTTTTATTAAATGATTATATTATTATATAACAATATAATTACGTATTTTATAATACATAATATACATGCATATTATGTACATAATTGTCATAATTACATAAATACATTTACTATAGGTAACTAAAAAAATATATTATTTAGCTTTAGAAGTAATAATATTCTAATTATATATAATTTGTACGGAAAAACATTGTTATTTTATTATTGTTGCTTGATAGACCATGTTGGACCAAGTCGGAAATCTGTATACTCGTAGATCAAATTTATACATATTCAATATTATTCTATAACACTAATGATTCATATTTTAAATAAAATTACCATCAAGTGTTGAATTTTAATTCTAACGTATAAATACAAATGATAAAATACAAAAATTAACATACATTTATAATTTAACTAGATTTTTATTTATAAGATATGCATATTTAATATTCTTGAAATGTAAAACTGACTAGAAAGTGAAAGTACATGCATTAAATTATAATAAAAATAAAAAAAAAAAATACATATTTGAGTAAGCTATAAAATATTTGTTATAATATGAATGTATGATAATATAATCATCAGCCACAATTTAAACAAGTTCAGTCTTGAACTTTTTTCTATAAAAAGTTTTCTAATGTACTATGACATGTTGAATATATAATTATAAATTTATAAACTTTAATAAAAACAATTAATGTAACAATTAAAATGATAAAAACAATAAAAAATGTTTAATTTTTAACATAATTAATAATTTTAGGTAGGTTACCTAGTAAAATATAATAATAAAAATGAATAGTTTAAATAATAATTAAATTATTTACAACTGTTGCTTTAAGTTTTATTTTATTCTTAACAGCTTCTCTCATTGCAATACTCTTGCTAGCTTTGAGACAAGCTGCACTTTTTTTCATATTTTTTGTAAGAAGGGTTCCTAAATTTTTACACCTGAATTCAATAAATCGGCTTATCATCTTTGTTTTAATTGGATGACATTCTGAACACGAAAAGGCACTTAATTCAAGTTCTAATGTCTTCATGAATAATTCCCTCTTGTTGTTTAAAATTAAACTTCTACATTTTCTAAACATTATTTCCATACTGAGGAAAAATTGAAAATTAATTAAAAGAATAGAATTCATTATGTACTTCACAAAGGTATGAATTATCTGTCGGAGTCCAATTATCCCTCTTGACTCTAACAGCCCATAACGCACGACGCTCTTTATTTCTAGAGAATATATTCATTTTAAATCCATTTTCACTCCGGTTATGACAACCATAAGCACAACAACCCGGCATGATGACGCGATTCAATGATAATACGTATACTTTAGTCTTTGAGAAAATTAATAAATCAATAAACTAATAATATTTCACAGCAGTTTCCTATACAATATACGTCTATACGTAGTAGGTACTCGATAGTCGATTGTCGATTTGAAAATTATCTGAACATTTTGGACGAAAAATGGTGAACATGAACAGTGATAACAGCCAACCAATAGAAAACGTTCAGCTGGTTGACCACTCTCTTATTATCTAGGCTCTCTAGGCCTACCTATATGTACTTCGGCCCTCATTCCTGACTGTCAGACGAGCGAATAGCAAAATACCCGTTTCGGTGCCGATTACGGTTTTCCGGGTCGATATGGGTTGGACGGACATATGAACCTATCCATAACGTATGCCCTTACCAGTTTATATCAATTAATCCCCCCCCCCGGAAGGACCAATTGTACAATTAACCAGAGGTCCCCAGTCGGATTTATAATGAAGTGGTCATTGGGCGCTATCTATTGTTAGTCCGCGGGAAAAACGTCGGGCCGGTACGCGGGCGAGCGGTATCGGTGGCGTGGCATAGCGGTGAAACGAGTGGTCCGTACATTCAGAATCGTTACAAAATGTTTTATGAAAAGCAACTTTATCAAATACCTACGTCATCATCGGATATGATACTAAGATCATCAGATATTATCGTGCCTTCTTCGGTTGATTTTAAATTACAAATATTAACAGGCATTATGGGTTCTCTTTGATATAAGACTTGGAAAGGAGAACAATTTGTTGAAGTATGTTGAGTCGTACGATGTGCAAATAGTACACTTTGGAAAATATAAGGCCACTTATTACTATTATCTTGCAGAACTTTGAGGAAGCAGTTTTTTATAGTTCTGTTCTGGCGTTCAACTAAACCATTCGCTTGAGGATGATACGCCGAAGTCACTCTTTGCTTGGTACCAGTTAAGCGAAGCAATTCTGATATGAGTTTGTTAAGAAATTCTCTTCCTTGATCAGTAATATAAATTAAAGGACAGCCATGTCTACAGACTATATCATCATACAGGAAGCGAGAAACTGATTCTGCACTTTTATCGGGAAGTGCTCTTGCTTCAGACCACTTTGAAAAATAATCGATTGCTACTACAACATATTTCATGTTATCGACTACTGGAAGTATCATAATATCAACACCGATTTGTTTGAACACTTGCTTAGGTACTGAAACTGATTGTAAATCAGGAATAACTTTTAATGTCGCAGGGTTTGCTTTTTGGCAGGCATCACACTGCTTGATGTATTCTCTCACATCATTCAACATTGACGGCCAAAAGTATCGCTTTCTCAAAAGCTTTTGCGAGGCGTCGCGACCATGATGTGAACCTAAAGCCGAAGCTTCCAAAGAACTATTAGCACCATCATGAACCAATTTAATGATTTGTGTTCGTTCTTCTGGAGTAATTATTACTTTGGCCATTGTCTTTTTGTAATCAAAAACTCCGTCTTTTACTACAAATGGTCGACAAAATCTCCTGAAGTTTGCTCGGCTACCTTTATCAGGAATACTAGCTGGATAAACACTATATTCCAAGTAAGCCATGATCCATTTTAAATTTATGTGAGTGTTTTTAAGTTGTTGGGGTTCATCAGCCTCAGCTGCAGCTGTCAAGCTCATTTCCCATGGTCGAAACATATTTTATCTATAGATCAATGACATTAGTAATAAATGTTACTAATTTTAAATCATCATAACTTACAAAAATTTAATTATAAAAATAGTAATGCTGGTTAGGTTTATCGACACCACCCATACTTTTGTTATATAAATAAACAACTTCAGGACATTAAATAGAAATCATGGTTATTTTTTACGATCAAATCTTTGTACGTTAATTGGTGTTCCCGAGGAAAAGAAATTTGATCCGAGCTGTAAAACTTTATTATAATACCACTTTACCAAAGCGATATTATGATTTGAGCATACCTCAAAACTAGTGCCTAGGCCCATTTTAGCTAAACCCGTTGCGCCGAGAGAGCGCAAGTCGGCCGCGCATCCAAATTAATTCGCTCCGCAGTTTCGAGGTCTAATTTCTCCCACCAAGTCGACTGGTCGTACGCCGTCGTAAACCACCGAGCGCTATCGTCTGTTATCGAATTTTGTCATTTGACAGTGGGAGTCGCGTTGGTGGGAGATGCGCGGACTACGAGTGTTGGTCGCCGCCGACTTGCGCTCTCTCGGCGCAACGGGTATAGTTGTTTATCTTTTGGAAACGTAGGGTTATTGCATCTATTTATTCGGATTGTCCCAGCAGCAAATATTTTATACTTTGATAAACAGCAAATTAAGTTATGAGGAGAAAAAATTGTCAATAAATAAAAAGTGTGTGTTAGGCTTTAAATTTTCAACCAACTTCAAAATGACTGCTCCACCTAGACCAAAATTTTTTGCATATTTTCATCGATTTGAGTAGATGATCCTTGATATAATAAAAGATTATAGACTAATCCACTTTGTCCACACAGCAAAAAAATTTTTATTCCCCATGGTGATGGTTTTCCTCTAATATATTGTTTTATTGATAAATTGCCTTTAAAAGGAACAATTTGTTCGTCCACACTTCGATTTTGTTCTACAGGTAACTCGGTACAGGGTTTAATAAATGAGTTATACAGCAGTGGCGGTTCTGGCATAACATTTTTGAGGAGGCAACAATATTGTACCCTTCTAGACATGTAAGCGCAAATCCGTCAATTCTTTTTACGCGAATCTTGTCCTGGTAATTTTTATTGTTTATTATAAGTCTAGTTATATAAAGTGTAATAATCAATATTAAATACTTGTGCTTAGGAATTTTTGTTATGAAATGTGTTTGTCATTCGGCACATTTATGAGTGAGTGAAGCTTGTAAAAAATTACCACGTGCATTAGAAGATATGGCCCGAAATATTTATAATTTTCTTAAAAGTAGTTCCAAACGCCAGAGTGAATTAAAAGAATTTCAATCTTTTCTGAATCTTGAGCCACATAAAATACTCCATCCTTCGCAGACTAGATGGCTTTCCCTTGCTGCCGTTGTTGACCGTATTCTTGAGCAGTGGGACGGCTTAAAACTATATTTTACAGATACCTATCTAAGTCAAAGATTATTAGTTACTGAACAGATTTATCATGGATTGAATGATATGTTTATGCAATTGGGTTACCTTTTTCTAAGTTGGGCTCTTCCACTATTCACCAGGTAGGTATATGCTTAATACTAATTTATACATTTCATGAATTATTATATTACCTTTTAATTATATTTGTACAGATTTAATTCTTACTTCCAAACAAAACATGTTGTAATAAATGAACTTCATGAAAAAATCACTGGACTCTATACAGAAATATTACTTTGTTTTTTAAAGCGAAGTTACGTTTTAAAAACAAAATTTAATTTGATAAATCCAATAAGTGAAGAGCACCAATTGATTGACTCAGAAATGTACTTAGGTGTTCAAGTTGCTAATCATATTGATCATCTACAAATATGCAGAGATAATATCCGAAAAAAAGATTTTTATCAACGATAAAAATGTCATTTCAAAAGTTAATAACTAAGTTTATTAAAGAATATTGTTTTTAAATTATAGGTGTAAAGAGTTTTTTCAAGTAGCCGTTACTGAAATTAATAAAAGATACAATATGGATGACCCGGTTTTATCTAAGCTTTATATTTTGAAACCAGATAATGCAGTATCTCTTGTTTTTAGAGAGAACACTCCTTCATTGTTACCACTAATCAAGATGCTCCCTAGAATAGTATCACCCGATAACATTCAACTTATGCAAGTTATTGATAACCAATGGAGGAATTTACCTATTGCAATGACTAGTACAACTACAACAGATGACATTATCAATATGTCAATGAAATTTGGTACTAAAATAATCAATATAGATTCTTTTTGGTAAGATAAATAAATCACCTTCAGTTATGTTTTTATAGGCAGTAGTATAGGTGCCTAACATTTTATTATTTTAAATGTTAACAGGGTTTTAGTTAGCCAAAAATTGAGTACCTTTTCAGAGTTAACTAAATTTGCATTAGATGTTCTAAGTCTTCCACACTCAAATGCAGATTGTGAAAGAGTTTTTTCATCTGTTAACTGTATGAAAACCAAGATTAGAAATAGATTAAATACCGATGCGATCAATGGAGCTTTACACACAAAACAACATCTTTCTAATAATGGCAATTGTATTACATTTAAACCCACTAGGAATATGATAAATTGTTTGACTAAAAATATTTTATATAAAAATAGTATCAATGAAAATGATGAAACAATTTTTGGTATGTTTCAAAATTGTTGATTTTTTTTTTATGCCATTAACAATTTGTTATTTTATAAGTTTTATTTTCTGAAATGAAACCTTATTTTATTATTATATACAACATTTAAATTTTAAATATTTTTATATAACTGTTTTTTTTTTTTAAATATTTTAAATATTTTTAACTAGTCAATATGACCAACCAAATAAAGAACTTTTTGTATGTACGATATTTTTTATCAAAAATGTGAAATACGATAATTTTATAGCAGCCATACGATATATTCAACTTTGGAGGTTGGCAACGCTGTCATACAGTGACACAAGTTTACTCATTTCAAACGTGAAGTAGTGTCACGCGCTCTGATGTCGGGATCGGCGGCAGCTTTTTACGAACGTTGCGTTGCTTTCATTATTATTTGCATTAAGCGGTCTGTGCGTTTGACCGCTAGAGGTCGGGTTCGGTATGATAAATTAATTAATATGAAATACTGGGGATGCCAGTTTCTGTTTGGTTACAATTTGTCCCTTTTGGGTTTTTCTGATGATTTTTTTAAATGATTATTGGCTTCGTCTATTCGCTTTTCCATTTGTAAAATTTGATCGGATTTCTTTTTTGTAAATATTTGGGGACAAATGTATTGGAGTTTTAAAAATTTGAACTGCAGAATATGTAACTGGTCGTTGGTTGATTTCGATAAGTGAAAAGTCTTCCTCATCTGCACTTTTAGAACTTCCGTCGTTTTCGATGTTTAAAATTTCATTACGCAGTGTCTGATAATAATAATAATAATAATAAAAAAAACTATAGGTAGTTAATATTTTTTTATTTATCAAAGTTAGGCAGTTAACCAATTGGAGATAAGTATTAATTATAAAAAATATAGGTTTAATACATAAAAATGTGGTAAAGTGGATGTCGCTATGCTGTACAGTAGTTTATAATTGGGTCACTGTAATGGATGGTATTAAATTTGAATCCAATGATAGGTATAATATCATTGTAAAAGAAAAATGATTCTGAGCGTAGACGGTAACTATATGTTAGCCTTTTATAATACTAGCCTATAGCTAGGTAGGCATATTATATTATAATATTATTGTAGGTAAAGTAATTCATTTTAGTATTAGGCATTAGTATCTACTACAGTAGGTTAAATTAATTTTTTTTAAATTTAAAAATATATTCTAAAAGTTAAATGTATCCATGAATAATATTTTTAAATTACATCAAAATAAATAAAATCATTTTTATATGTAATTTCGTCCGTTAAAATGTCTGTCAAAAATAATTGTTTTAGGTATGTAATTTTTAAATTTTTTGGTTACAGTATAAACTATTTATGGGAATCTTAGTTTTAAATTTTTAATCCTTAGTTATAAAACCTGAACATTTTATAGTTTATTAATTAAAATAATTTATAATTTTCGAAATTTTAAAAAATGTTGTCAAAATTTGAACTTTAAATGCCTATAAAAATGCCCTATGTATTTTTTATGTTTTTCAACTGCTATTGTAACAATATATCAGGAGCCTTATATTAATTACATAATAAAAAACCTAGAATAACTATTTCAGTTATTTTGTTGTGATTGTATAATATTATTCTTGGGTACTTGAAACTTCTAAAGTACACTATTATATATCTATGATAGTGTCAGGGTTTGTTGTTGATGTATAACTCGTTAAAAGTACCTAATGAATATTGTGATATGATTAATTTGGAATTTATTAAAGGTACCTATAATAGGTCAATTTTTTTTAATACGATAGATAAGTATATAATATGTCTTATACCTAGACTGACATATCGTCTCCGCTCAGAATCGTTTTGCTTATACATGATTTTATATAATTGAATTCAAATTTAATACTATCCATTATACAGTGACCCACTTGTAACCTACTGTACAGCAGGGCACCTTTTTTAAAATCAAATGAGGTGCAATAGCTTGATTATCTAGGCTATAACTATAATCAAGGTGGCTAAGCGGAGTTGAACAAAATGAAGCAAATGAACTATTACAATCAGAAATTGACGCAACTCCAAATGCCCATAACAATGATGGCATTTTTTCAGTATCATCTCCAGGTGAAGATGAATTTGTCTTCAATGATGAAATCGTTGAAGAATCATATCCAGACATTGAGAGATTTCTCAAGGCTCCTTATACGTCTGATCTCACAGTTTTGAATTCAATGACATAAGTGTAGTGATCCCTCACTAACGCTTATATTTGAGTGACCGACGTCTGTAGTTGGACCAGGTTGATCAAAAGGAATAAGGTTTTTCGAAGAGAGACAAAGGCGCAATGTTAAATGAAGTATTTATTATAATTGAGTTAAACTTGTTATAAAATAAAATAAAATAATTGTTACAAAATGTTATAGAAGTTTGAGGACAGCACGTTAAGTAACTGCCCGAGAACTTAGTTAAATCTACTTGTAGTTACTGGGAATGCACTTAGTCTGGCGGCGATGTAGAGTGCGCGGACTCTACGACCAGGTAAGCACTACATGTAGGGATGTGAGACTAATTCTGATTCTAAGGTGTACAGAGACTCATATTTATATGGTTCTCTGTACTCCCTGTTATACACGGTAGAGACTAGGAGGTGGACAAAAAGGCGAGTCGGCAGCTAGTTGTTATTGTAGCTGCCGAAAAGTGGTTTGCGACCAAAAGGTAATAAAAATTTGCAATATCATTTTAACTGGTTCTTCTCACGTCTTTGATTCTTGGAACTCGTAAAACGCAATAGTATTTGTGTAGACCATATGCCTTGCATTGATAGTTCCGAGAATCCGAAATATCATATTAAAATGTGAAGGCCGTGGCTTTAATGTAATAAAGTAAAAAAAATAGTGAATCGACTCCGTCGGTTTACTACATAAATAAAGAATATTTTTATTAAATACAACACAGCTATACCATCCAGTGCTTTTGTAGAGCGATTATTTAGTGTTGCAGGAGACATTTGTTCTAAAAAAAAGGTCGCGTATGAGCGATAAAAACTTTGAAGATACGCTATTGTTTAAAGTTAATTTAAAAACAAATAAATAATAATATTGTATTTTAAAAATTAATGGCATAGAGAAACCTTTTGGTTTTAATTAATTAGTTTATTTATTAATTATTTAATAGGTATAGGTTTATGTTGTCAGTTAGTGACACAAATATATAATATACTTAACTATGTATAGTGCGTTTCACAACAACCGCGACTCGACGGTAGCGCGCCTCGTGGTGTTTTTTCATCAGGGTTTCTAAAGCTAGCGCGTAATAATCCGCGCAAAATTTAAAATTGATAACGAATATTTTACACTTTTTCAAATTATACATTTATTAAATAAGATAATCAACGAATCATATTTTATGTTACACTTAATTGTTTTTAAATAACTTAAAACTATTAAAATATGTAAAAAAAATTACATGTATCTATATTACATAATATTTACATATGGTTAGGTTTGTATAAATATGTATATTTATATTTTTATTAATAGTCATCATCTTCGCTTTCACTGCTATCTTCTGGATTTATTGTCATGATAATTGGTTCCAAAATTTCGTCACGTAAGCCCTCTTTGACGTAATCATCGTCTTGCAGTTTATTGCAATGTGTCACACACCTCTTCCAGTCGTCAACTGTTACGGAATCCAATGCATCATGAGCCAATTTTTCAACTTCCTCGATTTTAAAACTTGTATTTTCTTCGGCGATTTTTCCTTTTACTTGCGCCCAAATTAGCTCTATAGGATTATATTGGCAGTGATACGGAGGTAGCCGTATCACCTCATGACCCATTGACAACGCAATCTGATCCAGCTGTAGTAAACCGACGGAGTCGTTTCCTATATATTAAATATTATAATTACATTTCTCACGATGTCACGCTGGACAACAACAAGACTAGGAATCTTTTGCAATACCTTGGGTTTGACAGCACAATTAAAACTTATCTTTTTCAAACCTTGGATTTGACAGAGCAATTAAAAAATTAATCTAACGATTAATTTGCGAATCTTCGCTTTGCCAAAATAATGCGAAAACAAACTTATTAAATTGCCAATCAACCACTCGGGTCTTTTGGCAATAACATCTAGCTCCAGGCTCCTTTCAAATATCCATCTCCTAGACTCTACCGTGTACGTTTATATCCGCATAGATTTCATATAAATATAAGATGATGTCTATTGCAAAATTAGAATTAGTTTAGAGTTTGCACTACGTACATACTGTACGTAACTAACTTCTCGGGCAGATGCTTTTCGCTCTGTCCTCAAATTTATATTACACTTAATTGTGATCATTTACTTTTTAAAAACGTTAATAAAACTACTTATACCTAACTTGTGTAACTTGTCTCTGCAACCTTTTCTCCTATTCAACCGTCAACGTCTTTGAACTCAAAAATATAAGCGTTAGTGAGGGATCACTACACATGGCTATGTTTACTACTTAAATGCCTTTTCAGTTTACTAGGGACCATGGATTCGTTGCTGAGTTTTTCTCCACACACGATACATTGTGGTACAGGACGGTTTTCAGGACCATTAAATGTAAAACCAAAGTTCAAATAGTTATCAAGGTACTTACGGACTAAAATAGGAGTAGGTTGTTTGTTTTCCTGCACCACTTTACTTACAACACTTGTACTTGCAACATGATCATCCTTCTTTTCGATGCTACTATTCAATGGTACACCATCTTCAAGTTTTCTTTTTTTTACTATAAATTTATGCATATTACAATAAAAACTACGCACTAAAAAAATTTTTAAACTTTAATTGTACGTTTACGTCGTCTACAGCCTACACACGTGCAGTTAAAACTGTACGATTCGATTGAACAGTTTTATCTGTACAGATAAAATCATACGAGTGTAGATTAATACGACGTAGTTTTTAGAACTGTACAGTTTTTCGGAAATAAATTGAAATTATCAATTGACCAATTGTGTGCTAATTGTGCAGATAAGACGATACCGGATACATGTATAGGCGCGTGGCGATAACTAATGCCTTCGGCGAATTTGTCGAAGTTGTTGTGGTTGTCAAGTGCGTGAGTGTGCCGTTAAAACTTTTGGTGTATAATAGTGTGCCGTGAACTAAAAAAGGTTGAGAACCACTGTTCTACACAGTCTTTTTACTTTCAACCCAATATGACCAAATTTAACAATTTGACAGAGTTTTTAAATGTATCCGCCTTTTCTTGACCACCCTGTAGTATCAGTGTGTATAGATAATAGCCAAATAATTTATTGTAATTATGATTTTGTCCAAGGAGGATTAAAAAAAAGTATTATTAAAATTGGATATTTATTATTGTGCATTATATAACATTATATTTTACTGTGAACAATAGTATGGTAATTTTGGACTAAATATTATATAAAAACATTCTGGAAGTGTTCTATAATATTATGATATATTTAAAAATAGTATTAATTAAGCAATAATTTAGGGGAAAGGTGTCCAAAGCGGCCACCCTAAGGTTCAACACAGTGTCACACTTTCGGATTTAATTTTTTTTTATGAAACCTTCAAGATTGTCTAGTTGAACTTGTCAGGAATCATAATTTTCAATCAGAAACAATTTTAAACAAATAAATAAAAAGTTATTTTAATTTTTTTTAAAAGTACAAAACTGTTCACTTTGCCCACCTAGGAGTTCAGGCTAGGTCAGCCCATGTCCACTTTGACCACCGGTTTAAAATGTCTATTATAATTCACTATTTTATAATATTATCATAAATATATATAAGGTAACTTATATTTTATTCTCACAACAAATTTTCTTTGATAAATAAGTAACTTCATTTCAAGCTTTGTGTTTCTTATTAATGTTTTTATAATTAATTAACACATTAATCAAACTTGGTATTTTTTTGATGAATAACAAAGCTATTTTATAAAATAAACATATCAACTTATTAATTATATCTTTCTTATCTAAACTGTAGCTTTTAAATAATAATAAATACATAAATCATAGCAACAAAAACAATTTTATAAACAACAACTTTATGTTTTTAATTATGTCATATTTTTAAAATGAATTTACAAATTAATCAGACTTAGTACCTTCTTGGTAGTAACATTAACAATTTTATAAACAACAACTTTATGTTTTTAATTATGTCATATTTTTAAAATGAATTTACAAATTAATCAGACTTAGTACCTTCTTGGTAGTAACATTAACAATTTTATAAACAACAACTTATTTTTCTGTTAGGTTATATTTTTAAAACTAATTAACAATTAATCAGACTTCGCACCTTCTTGGTAGCATTAACAATATTTTATAAACAACAACTTAAGTTTCTTATTAGATAATATTTTTAAAATTAATTCAGGTACAAATTTATTAATCAGACTTAGTACTTTTATAGTAGGTAACAAAACAAAATAAAATACACATAGGTAACTTAATAAGCGTTTGATAATGTTTTACAAAAATCACAAATAAAACTGTCTTCTTCACATCCAGCACAACCGTCGTGACACCATTTCATGCATTTTAAACATCTTACCCAGCCTTTATTAGATTTTGATTGAGAAAATGTTCCACCACAATATGGACATTCAGCATTACTATCTTCATAAACAGTATTTGGAGGGATTTTAGACTTGTTTTGATTTTTTTTTTCGTTTGCATGTTGGTTTTTTTTTATTAAATAAACGTTTTTTAGGTGGTGTTACGGCTTCGGAAGCTTCTAGTTCTGTTTTATATGGACTAGATGTTAAAATAGCAGCTGTGCCTTTTTTCCTGTTAGTTGACCGTGATTTAATACTTGTTTTAGGTATAGGAATTAAATGTACTGGACTAACAGTAAACGATGAGCTAGGTTGGGTTTCTTCTTGATTGTTATTTGTTTCATTCTCATTTATTGAAACTTCAGCTACTGGTGGATCTATTACAGCAATTTCAGCTATTGGTTTATCTATTACAGCAATTTCAGTAGTTTGAGCTGCAATAAAATCTGAATCATCAAATATATTCGGATCTAATGGCACAATTCCACATTTTCTGAAACCGTTTATGGCAATCATATGAGTTGCAGCTTTAATGTAAGCTTCACCAAAAAGTTTGCTCACTTGAAATTGAGATACAACTCTTCCTGGGTTATTTTGTAGGAACTTCTCAATTGCCTGAACATAGTATGTATTTAGAGGTCCCATAAAAGAAACGTCCAATGGCTGCAATTTGTGGCTACAATGTGGCGGTAAGCACACAACAGTGGTATGATTTTTCCTTGCTAAATCAATAAACTGTAAATTCCTTGTGTGTGTCATATGACCATCTAGTATAAGCAGAACTGGATCTTCTGCTGTTGGTTTGGCATGATTAATAAAATGTTGGAACCATTCTGTAAAAATTTCTAATTGCATCCATCCAGATGGGTGACAATGAAAAATAGTTCCTGGAGGAGCACCATCCTGTAGTTCAGGTTTCATTCTCACCCTAGGAAAAATTATCATGGGTGGTATAAAATTTCCACCAGCTGACATACAGACTACAATTGTTGACAAGACACCTCTCTCTGCTGAAGTAAGAGAACCTACTTGTCTTCTTTCTTTTAATGCGAAAATTTTGGAAAATTTTGATTGAACTGTGGTTAGTCCAGTCTCGTCAACATTAATGTGGTAAGAAGTTATTTATTTGCTGAACATTTTGTAAAATAGTAAAAAATGTCATCACATTTGGACGATTAAATGCCTGAGCTCTAGCCGAGGACGTAGCTTCTGGGGACCTAAGTGTTATCTCTGGATGGCGCTTTCGGAATCCTTTTACCCAGTCTTTATCTCAGTTTTATTGTAACATTGAAGTTGTGTGCAATATTATTTTTTTCAGCTAATTCGTAAGCTAATGTTTGGATATTATTTATTGTTAGTCCATAAAATCTTTTTTCCATATCAAATAGGTAATTTACAATTTCTTGTTCTTGATCATTAGAGAAAACTGAACGAAATCGACCAAGAATTTTTTTATTACATGAACAAATATAATAATATACCTCTATTATATTGTATATTTTAGATATTAAGTATATTATTTAATAATATAAATACATACCTGTTGCATCAATATTAATATCTTCAACTCTTCTTTTTAATGTTGTTCTTGGGACGTTGAAATATTTGGCAGCTTTATTGTAACTTAATTTTTTATTTTTAACTGCATCAATTGCTTTTTTCATGCTCACTGCATTCCAGCTTTGTTGATTTGAAGTTCTTTTGTAGTTGGTAGGCATCTTAACATTTCTATAATTTAACAGATACAAAATAATACATACTGATGATGGTAGGTATCTAAGAATTCTTTGTTTCAGAAGTTTTTGTTATTAATTTTATAACTTTTAATCAGATTAATAGTAAGTAAGTCATTAATTATATTTATTTACCACTAACATGGTTAAGCAGTAATTTAGTTTATATAGGGTCTTTATAGTTCTTATGGTATAATAACTACACCAAATAATTTATTTACATGCATAAACAATTATAATTATTAAATAGACATGATAAAAATGAAAAGTATTTTAAGCACGGGCAAACTGGTCACCATAGTGACCACTTTGCCCTTTTAATAATGTTTAATTTACTGTTTAAAAAAATATTAATCCTATTATCTAATTAAACTTAAGTTAATTCTATAACATATAAAAACTTATGTAGATTTTGAAAAAAAATAATTTGGGCATATTAATTACTATGTTCGTAAAATATAATTATTTATTCAGAGCACTTACCTTAGATCAACAGCATCAAAAAATGAAAATTTTTTTTTAAACGAAAACGGTAAATGTTATAATCAATAGTGGTTTATCAGTTGATAAATATGATAACAATGAACCAAACCACGTGATGAAACCAGCTGTTTATTTATTAATCACAGAATAATAAGACATGACCACTTTACCCGCTGTGGCCACTTTGTACACCTTTCCCCTACTATTAAGGATTAACATTGATGGGACACAATAGTAACCCACGTGACCAATGCCGTTATAAATAAGCACGCGACTAACGAAGGGTTAATTACTTTCTAAAAGTAACTTACCCAACACTGAGTATATGTAAGTACATGTACTTTATATTAAAACGTTTTAAGTTTATTTTTGTTATTTTGTTATTTATTATTTTTTATCAAGTAATAATAATAATTTACTGCATTATATCATAATACCAACATAAATGATAAAAATAAACAACTACTTATCGGTCTCCTTCATTCTCTCTTCCTCTAAGGTAAAATTATCCGGGGGTAAGATTTTCCTGTTACACCCCCCCCCCCCCCGGTAACGCGGCGGAATACGGAATACAGTTTTTCGTAACGCGTTACTTTTTTTTTTGACTAGGTCCCCTAACCAACCCGTGATAAGGTACTTCGTTCCAATAATATAGAATAAATATTAAAAATTACCAAAATCTTTATTTTAGACATATTATTTCGTGTGGTGACATGGGATGAGGGCAAATAATATATTACCTATTGCTTATTGTCAAGTACATATTGTCACGTAAAATCGTATGAATTACAATATTATTATTATACTTAAATATTATATTATGGTCATAAATTATTTATAATGGTTGGGTATCATAATTTCAATATTCGGTTATGGTGATGATATATCGACTTCAGCAGCAGTTGAATCAAGCTTTAAGAAGCTTAAAACGGTAGCATTTAAACATATTTCAATTCCACTTGATCTTGAAAATTTTTTGGAAAATCACATTAAATCGCTAAAAGGAGCTGCTTTATTACGGTCGTCTTGCAACAATATAGCTATTTCTTCATTGCCTGAACCATGTGAAGCGATTGATGATAGCCATAGTTTTACTTCGTCAACAATTATTTCAAATAATTTGAATGAAAATGATAATAATGTGTATATTGAAAATCGTACGAAATCTCCTACTTATGATGCCTTATATGTGGTAGATAGGCCAATTATTAATGATAATAATAATGTAGAATTACAGCTAGAATCGGATGATAATCTACAAATACGATCATTGCAGTTTATTAAAATACCACCTCTTAATTTTACGACTGAGGAAAGTAGAGCAGTTGAAAGCTGGACCGAAATAGCAAAAAGCAAAAAAAAAATAACTCTTATCTTAATCCAAATCCGCACTTATGGCATCTAAATATAAGTACTGCAAAAAATAAACAAACCTTACCAATTTTGAAAAATGGTTCAAGGTTTGCTGAATTAAAAAGCTGCAAATCAAGAGAAGGAAAATTAATTTGAGCAATACTTGTGCTTTTGATGTTGTAACGGCGTTATTAATGGTTTGTTTCTTATTATTGATAAATATAAAATATAATATTAATTAGTCTACAAATTGTATATTATAATATACTCTATTCTATACAGGGAATATAATACACAATGTATAAAGATAATTTAATTCACAAAAGATTAAGTAAATTAGGTTTTTCATTATATTGAAATTACAACTTCAAAAATGAAAGTAATTTGTGTAGATAATACAACATTTATTTTAAACTATTAAGTGAGAACAAATTAATATTTTTTTGAGAAAATACACTTTTTTTAAAAAAAAAGAACATAATATAATATTATGTTTAAGTAATAAAAAAACATAAAACTAAATATATAAGTTCATCTATCAGTTTTAGAATTTGTATGGTAACATATTTAATTATTTAAGTGCAATTTAAAAAAAGTTTGAAGTAAAAAACTCCCAAAAGTTCAAATATCTACAAATAACATAATATTATGTCATATTTGGTTATATAAAATATATACTTATTCCTTTTCACTAATTGTATTTCTCACTTTTCAGGTTGTGATAGCTACAAATTTTCAACAATGCATAATAAAATGTTTAAACATGTAGAGTTATTGAATTTTATTTCTGATATTCTAAAAGATGGAGTATCAAAATCTACATATATTAAAAGAGCGGATATCATAATGACATTAATGAGTCCTGATGTTCAACCAATGGAATATGGTAACTCCTTGGTGACATGTGATGCGACGATATGTCATGTTATAAAAGCCCTACTTAGTGGCATTCCATCGGCCAAAGAAATAACTGAGTGTATATCCTCAACATGTTGTAACGAGACAAACTCGAACGCTCAAAGACCGTAGCGCACTCTCGTTACCAGTCGTCATCAAGTATATATTACTACCGCGACGCGCTCTCGCGCAGAAATTACTCGCGGAACACGGAAAAAGCCGTTCCCGACGTCCGTCAGAACGCGTGCATACCGCAACTCCGATATCACCGGTATGCCGCCCGCAAAGGAAAGCTCCTTTTCAGACAAAACCCCGTAACATAAAACCCTTTCGAAAGCACCATAAAAATCAGTAGAACATCAAGAATACTGTACGTATTTTACATTGGTTTTATGTTATGAGGAAAGACACTGAATCAGTGCTTTGCCTGTTTTAACCACCACGAAGAGGACCCAAGTAGCATATATACTACCCAGAAAACGTTGTCACAACACCAAACTCCCCGCTGAGAACAGTATCTCAGTGAGCCGGACGAGCATACCACTCGTTATACACGGACACTATTTACTGTACGCCCAACAGCATTTTGCCCTAGACTAACACAAGCCGGACGAGCACACCACTCGTTAAACACGGATGTCAGTGATTACAGTCTGAACCGGCATTCCCATCATCGCCACGTCGAGCCGCCGCGTATCACCGTTCAGTCCGGGTTTTCTCGTGCCGTGAGACGTTGCCAATCCGAGTGCGCCGCCTGTTCGAGTATTCCAACACCACTGAACCGTCACCCTTTATTTTGCCGTGAGACGTCGCAGAGTCCGAGTCCGCCGCCAGTAAACGGAAGATATTCATGTCACGCCGCCGCCATTCAGAGTCGAGCCGCCGTGTACTGTATTGCTGTCCAGTCTGTGTTCTGCTCGTGCCGTGAGACGTCGCCAGTCCGAGTCCGCCGCCTGATCGAGTATTCCAACACCACTGAACCGTCACCCGTTATTTTGCCGTGAGACGTCGCAGAGTCCGAGTCCAGTAACCGGAAGATAGTTACGTCAAGCCGTCGCCCTGAGCCGCGCCGCCTGATATTTTTCCGCACGCTGTTGTCAGGATATTCCACCACGTAGATATCACAAACAGGAAAAACCTTGAGTTTCATGTTAACCACCTTGTCCCCCCTTATATGTAAACCCCTATTAAACTATTTTTATTGTAAACTCTCCGGAGTATAAGTTAAACTGATATAAAAGAAAATAATGTTATAAAAACATATATTTTGTATCAAAATAAGATGATGAGCATATTGGTTCAAAATAAATAAATGAAAATAATTACCAACCAATAGCGTTTCATTACAATGTGATAAATCTGAAAGAAATATTATGTATCTAACATACCAAATGGGTAAGGAAGGCCGTCTGGATGAATTACAAACGTTTTTGGATGAACGAATTGAAACAGACTTCATAAATTGTGCACAAATTGGCTGTGTTAATATGAAGTCTGTTGAGAGAATCCGGAGCTTTTTAGGGCTCCGTAAACCACCCACGATGTAAGGGGAACACTTACACCGTGACCTATGAGCCGCACCGCGTGATGACCCGAGGGCCAAGTCGGTGGAGCTCATAGGCTTTGTTACACGCAACTACAAATGAATGTAGAGGATTTAAGGGGAGAAAGATAATATTTGAAGATTTTGGGCTATTTACAAGATATATTAACTGGCATTACAAGTTAAGGTTAAAATTTAACATTACAAATAATAATAATAACAATAACATGACAATTGTAATACAAAAATTTGGCACATGGCAATTACAAAATCAAATTATGGTGGCACATGGCAATTACAAAATATAAAAGATTTGTCGCAATGTCGCATGCTTTCCTGGCCCACGGGAGGCGACACACCATATCACTCATGGCGCATCCTCGCAGGGTTACCGGGAAAGCGTGCCGGGCTTGTTAAAGCCAAAAACAGGGGGAAATATGTGAGAAACCCGCGTCTTGCGACGCCTCCTCAGGCGCACAGGTTATACAAACTTGAATTTCGTATAACCTGTGGCCCACGTGCTGGTAAAGGGGGGGGGGGGTAACAGGGGAAATAAAACATATTACGACTGTGCTGCGTGGTCGATGTTGACGATGATGATGTGCCGGTTTGACGGCAGTCACGTGGTTGTAGAATGGCTCGACCTCGGGCCCGTTGTGGAAAACTTAGCCCATCATGGCGTGTTGATCGTGAGCCAGAAAAAGGTATGTGGTCCGTGGTTCAAGACGAGAACAAGGTGAGTCGTTGATCCAAGACGAGAAAAAAGTGAGCCGTGATTCAAGACGAGATAAAAGATGAGTCAGTTGAGACTTGAGAAAAATGAGTGAATACTGTTGAGCGGAGCCCCGGCGACATCGGTGGTCTGTTGCCGGCGGCGGAGCTTTTTGTCGTTGGTGGGGCAGATCAGTGTCGTCGTTTTGTGGGATGATACAGTATATTCGGGGAGTACAGTAGTGCCTGCGGGCCGTACCGGCGGACGCGACAAAAGCGCTGGAGATGACGGGCGGCGGGCAACGGCGGCACATCGACGACGAACACTGCATGATGAAGGGGGGAACGGGGAACATTTATTGCATAACACTACGGTCATTTCTGCATTAGCGCGCGATAATCATAACAATATATAAATAAGGTATGTTTATTAATGGTAATATGGGTACAGGTATGTTTATGATATTAATAATATTAATGCAAAAAATGCTGTGACGTTACACTGTTAAAAACATTATTTCAAAAATGAGTTTATTTATTAACGTCCTTTATGGGGAAGGTAATTAAATTAAATAAAAGTATATTACTAAAAATTATACATTCAAATATTTTATTATTTCTAGGTGAAAATGATCAGTGAAGTAGTGAATCAGCAAATATCTCTATGGTACGTCTATGTGATATTTCTCCTATAATCATAATATGTGATACAACAACATACGAACTTCTTGGAGTGATAGCATTTCGTCAGGGAAAATCGAAACTGAAACATTCAATCGGCCATTATACAACTTACGCTAAGCGTGATACAAAAAACTGGGAGTTGTATGATGACCTTAAAACTAAACCTGTGCCAATTAAGGACACAATGATAGTGCCATGTGCATTTTTATTATATACAATTTAAACCTATTCCTTTATAAAATAAACTGTTATACATACGTTTAACTTAAGTAAAGTATTCATAACATTATTCAATTATTTTATTTCATTGAAAATAGTTCATTTAAGACACAAATTATTTGTAAAATAAAGATTTTGGTAATTTGAAATATTTATTCTGTATTATATTTCTAATTGCCATACCTACCTATTTGATATAATATAATTATAATACCAATTATTTCAATATTAAATGTTAGCATTTGCGTGTAATATAAAATTTAAAATATGCATGCTAACCATGGCAATGTTAATGTAAATTAAATCAAATGTAATTATTGATTATGGTATTAATATATTATGTGTAAAAATTACTTACCTCGAAATATGGTATTGGTGAAAACTAAATATCCCTCATTTAAAATTTAAAATGACAATGAATGTCTATGTCTAACACCAATTCGTAGTTGTTAATTGTACAACAGTACATACTTTTTTCAAGTACTTTTTCAAAAGTATTAAAAATACGTACTATTGGTTACTTAAAAAGTAGGTTATTGAATACTTTTACAGTTAACTCAAGTACCTACTTTATAATATTCCTATGCGTCCATATTACTTATGAGTTATGAGTTTTTGATGAGAAAACATTAGAAATAGTCCTATAACAAATACCGTATGTAGTAGCAAAAAAAAAAACGTTAAGAAAGGTTTGTTTCATATGTGAGGGGGAAGAGCTAAAGTAGTCTGGGGTAAAGCGTGAAAGTGGAAAATCGTAAAATTTCGGGTTCAGTTACAGTCGTGCAAATGCATGCTAATGACGTTCTAATGATTGGTAAAAAAAAGTGATTATTTCACTTGTGGGGGTAAAGGTAACGTTACGCCAGCCCCCCCCCCCCCATAGTTTTTTTTATTAATAACTCGTAAAAAAATGTCGTGCAAATTCTAAAAATAGTCGTGCAAATGCATGCTAATGGCGTGACTTAGTTTTTTTTGTAAAAAGTTCAATGAGGGGTTCCAGGGTAGTAAAAAAAGTTTTGTAAGTTTTTTTTTCTTGTTACGAATAAAAATAAATAGTATGATGTTTATTGTTTGAAATATGTGTGTTATATAATAATTAGGTTTATAGATAAGACGATCAATATTCAATATTAAGGTTGCTACATCAGATGAAAATAAAGTGACTTTTAGACCAATAAGCTTGAAAAAACTGGAAGAATTTGGTTTGACAGTTTTTAATTTTGAAAACGGATTATGATTGATCAACAAGTTTACTAGGGAATAATCGAGGAGATTTTGAATTTTTTTTTTCTTCAGCTGCGAAATCCAAAAATAAAAATATGAAATTTTTGTATTTATATTATTCATTATTCATTACGACACAAACAATAATTAGAATATTCAAAATCGCCTAGATCATTCAATAGTAAACTTATTGATTAATCCGTAATAATCCGTTTTCAAAATTAAAATCTGTCCAACCAAATTCTTCCAGTTTTGTCTAGCTTATGGTCCAAAAGTCACTTCCCAGATAGCAAAAAAAATATTATTTACAACTGTTTTTAACATTATATAAGTAATGACTAATACAAAAATAATATTAATTTTTCAATACAGAAATGTAAAAATAATGTTTTTGAAATATTATAGTTAAATTATTCGTCCTACAAATTTACATTAAAATAATGACTCTACCGTAATATTATTTTTATACTTTTAACTCGATATTAATCGTATTATATAAATATAATTTTGCCGATTGTAAAATTTTATAATAATAATGTTTTAATAACATTATTTTCTTTTTTAGTTTATTGTATTATATAAAATTTCTTATAATAAGACTATATAAAACTATTTAATATATATACCTATTGTATACAACGCATTATAGTAAAGTAGCCAGGATTTTGGAATGGGGGGGGAGCAACGAAAAAAATATACAAAATATGTATAATCGTGGTCAATTTACATGGTCAATTTTTGTTTAAGAAACCTTTTTTTTCTGTCTATTTAATAACCATACAAACAAAATAAATCGTACAATCAATAAACATATTATATATATTTAATATAAATTGTTTAATAATGTTTTAATTTATAAATTTAACAGCATCTTAGTTATTTTATTTACTTAATTAAAATGTTAATCATGTTTTTTTTATTAATACCGGAAGTTGCACCATTAATATAAATAGTTAAAGGTGATTGTATATCAGCATTGGTAACATTTTCATACTGCTTCTAAAAAATGTTAATTTATCAATTAATTAAAATAATCTATAAAATAATATAACATTAAATAATTTATTTATTTAATATTAATTCTAATGGTATTATATATATATTCTATTAGATTATTGTATTTTATCAAAATAACTTAAAATGTATAATTTAATCATTTAAATGAAAAAAATAGATTTTAAAATGATTTGAATTTTGACAAGTTTAAAATTTAAAAAAAAAATTAGCAAGATAAAGCTTTTGTATTATAGTTAAGCTGCCTCAATGTATTAATACTAATGTTATGACAACTGAATGCTGTTAAAATTGTTGTCAATATTTTAATCATTTTGTTTTCTTTTTAATGACAACAAATACAATTAAATATAAATGGCCACTTCAAAAAATTGAGTTTTGGGTGTAAAAAACATAGTATTACACTTTTTGCCATGTTTTTGGTTAATTCGGAAAACTATAGGAAAAAAATGAAATTGAGTTATTCATTATTCTAATTGAAATCCATTTTCTACCTATATGTACAATATATATAGGAGTAAATAAATTTAGCACATATAATATTATAGGTAGATATACCGTATAATAATACAGGTATTGAGCAAATTAAAGTTATAGTTATTTGTATTAAATCTTACCAAAAATGACAGAGCACGAGGTGAGGGTAGAAAAGACCATTTTAGACTTTTGCCCTTTAAAACTATAGTCTTTCAATAAAGAATCATCATAAACAGTTCTTAGTAATTGACATACAGTTGCAGTTAAATTTCTTTTGG